CGGAAATCCGCACGTGCTCCTGCAGCAGGTCCTCAGCGGTGCAGGTTGACATCAAGGAGTGGTCTCAGGTCTCAAAGATTATACCAGCATCACAGGACCCTGACGGCGGAAACGCACAAGAATGCCACCCTCGGCAACTTGACACCACACGCAACAAGTTGGGGTGCTAGGAAGCGCTCATTAAAATCATGTAAGGGGTGTCCAACAGGGTCCTCACCTTGCCAGATAGGCTGTTGCTTGCATCATCAAAGTAAGAGGAGTAACCAGACTTGGTCTATAAATGGAGTTGTGCAGAAAACCTGCGTTATGCAGATGGCGCAAACCAGGCGGTGTGAGGAAGACAGCGCGTGGCGATCGCGGTGGCTGGTGCACGGCGCCCACGCCAGCGCCTGTCGTAGCCAATAAATCGATTTTGGCAAGTCGGCTTCAATACGCCAGCATGGTGGGTCATCCCCTTGCGAATTCGGGGCTAGAGATGCGAGCGGGGCTGAACCCACACCTGCACAATGGATGACCCAGTTGTGTAAACTGCTTAAATGGGGAGCAGCACGACGAGGCCGAGACAAGGTCGCCCCGCACGCCGAGAAGCCGCCACACGGTCGACGTGATCTGGAGAACTGTGTCCGTGTATATGCGTGCTCCGTGACTGCGTGATAAACAGCGCCTATTCGTTGATTGATCATGAGACGCACTTGAACGGACAAGTGTGCAGCATGCTAAATACTGCAGTAAAGAATGGAGGAATGGCTGACGGCCTGCCGGCGGCTCAGTCGCAGTGCATGTCGGCATCCCCGCATTCATTGCGCACGCGCTCATGCAAGAATCATTTGCTGGTCCGCACGGTCTCTTCATGGCCAGGAATACGCTACGCGCTTTGTGCGTACTGCTGCTCGCCGCGCACGTGGTGTCTCGGGTGACGGCCAGCTAGAGCTGCTGCAAACATGCATTCTCCCCCGGGAACAAGAACTGGTCACTGCATGCACGCTCAGAAGTGATCCAATTGCAGGCGCCTTTTGCCGCTCTTATTCACTCACCGTCACGCTCAGGTGATTGCGGTACGATTCGTGGTGGAAGGGTACAGGCAGCGGTTTCCCACACGTCACTGCTTGCTGCAGACTTGCCACTGCAACACCCCGGTGAGATGGTGACAGTCGACTGCGACCCCAAGATTATTGAGGACGTACAATATCAGTGTTATGAGAATTGAAGGCCGCGCCAACGGCTGGTTGAGCTAAGTGCAAGCTGCAGTTTCTATGTATAGCTATGCTGCACACCAAGCCGCAGTGTTGCAACCTGCGCCTGACTGGTTAATCATGACTATGACTGACATTGGACCTTGTCTCGGAGCCCTCTGTTCGTGGTGCCCGCCCATGCGCAAGTGTGGTGCTGCTGCAGCCCAACGCCCAACCATACTGCTCGGGTTCGTGCGACTGTGGGCTTACACCCGCAAAGAGACGACTATGATGGCAAGCACAGATGGCCGCAGGCCAAGGCCAGGCGGCGCAGCCGCCGCAGGAGCATCGAACGCTCTCCCCGTATGATTGCTCGCAAAACGGGGCAGCGATACACAGGGGTGCAGGCTGCTGCCTTGAATCGTTGGAAAAGTGAGGGGTGATGCGGCATGCACATCGCAAGAAAGGTGGGGGCCAGGGCATCATTGAGATGATTACGTTGGATAGAATCGCGAGTGGCCGCGTGCAGACCGCGCCCTGGTGGTGCGCCGCACTAGCTCATGCTCCAGTGGCGCCGGGGTCCCCGAAAATGCGAGGGCTGGTGGCTGCCTGCCGGGACCGCAAGGACTCATCACGTTCCAAAGTAGAGCGATCGGTGGCAAACTGAGATTGCTTGAGTGCTGCGGGCACTCAAACACAACCCCAGCGTTGGAATCAATCTTAATGCATGCCCCAAGAGCCCAGCGCACATCACGCGGTCGCGCGGTGCTGCAGCCGAGGTGCACGACTCGTTTTGACGATCGTCCAAAGCAGTGGGTCAAGAAGCCAAGGAAACTGTGCGTTGGCTGGTCACGTTTGCGTGTCTCTGCTCTCACCAGGCGCAAAGATGATGCGGCATGGTCACAGAGCAAGGAGTGCGTTTGGAAAGGCAACAACAGCTGTGAGAGAGCGAGAGAGCGAGCGGAGGAGAGATATGCCGCTGGGCGGCAAAAAGAAAGAGGGTGCTGCCTCCACAAGGCCGCATGCTCATAAGACGTGTAATCGGCCAGCCGCAGGCAGCCTCAACGGCTCCACCCATGGCTGCATGGCATGTGGGCACCCTTGGCAACGTGAAGCCCGGTATGGATCCTTCAGCATCACAGCCTGGTGTGTGGCTGTGGCAGAATATCCACCGCCACGGCGATCAACTGCTACTACGTCAACGCCCGGCGGCGCTGGTCAGGTGGAGAATATAGGGTGGAATGGGGAGATGGGGTTTCAACTCAACAGCCGCAAAGGTTTATGGAAAAGTGCCGGCGCTCAGGTGCACACAATCGCAGGGTGACGCCTGCGTTGCAAGCACCAGCAAGCGTGAAGCCGGGCGGCACGGGTGGTCGAGTGGCGGTTCTCGGACCAAAACCCTTGCGCTACAGAGGCAGACAGGTAGGCAGGTCACATGAGGCGGTCACTTTGCATAGCTATGTCTGTGCGGGCTTCAAGGTCAAGTTTCAGACGTTGAGCCGGTCACGGGGCTCCACGCTCATGCGCCGCTTGCGAGCGATGGCCACGCCCGCAATGCCGCCAATAAGCGCTGCGCCGCCCACACCGGCGCCCACACCGATGCCAATCTTGGCAGTGTCGCTGAGGCCCTTGCTCACAGGGGGCAGGGCGCTCACCACCTAGTTGGGGTAGGTGTGAGGTGCGAAGCGGATTTCAGGGTGTAGGGAGATGCAGCAGGGGGTTCCTCGCTCAAAGGCCATGCACATGGTGGGCCGACAAGCTGGATACCCTCAGCAGGCACACGGCAGACTTGCTCGTACTATGAAGCCGGGAGTCCTGGATCACCTGAACGGAGATGGAGGTGATGTCATACGTGTCCAGGAAGGTGGGGTCAAACACGGTCGCCAGGGAGGCCGGGTCAGCCAGGGTGTTGGCGGCGGTGTTGACCTGCTCGGGGGACCAGGTGGCTGGGGTGTGCAGCACCACCTCAGCGATGACTGAGCCCTGGGTCAAGTTGGTCACCTGGGAATAGGTTGTGGAGCAGGTGGGGGTACAGGGGACATGGAAGACTCAGCTCGCGCCACCGGGAACATTGACCGTACACAACTAAGCAGGCTTGACCACACAATGCTGCTGTCGTCCAAGCTGCATGGCCAGATAGCTTTGGCTGAGCCCGCGATCTCTATTTGTTCTTGCTGTCCGCCGCTTTGCCGGCCGTCAACCGACTTGAGCTCGCTCGCTGCACGCCTACCCGCCCAACGCGCACCTCAACATTGCCAAGGGGCAGGTCCACAGCACGGCTGACTCGGGTGCGGACGTCAAGCTTGAACTTGGCGGTCTTGGCCGGGTCTGCGATGAGCTGGGCATAGCTCATGCCCTCAAAATGCATCGAGTATGTGTAAGGGACCACGGAGTCAGCCGCCGCCACCTTGGCGCTGATGTTGACACTGGCCGAGGCAAAACAGCCTGGGGTTTGAGGGCCGCAAGGGGCGTGGGTTGCTGGTTGGGAGGTGCGCTGTGGCCGTCCTGACATCTGACAGCGAACATGACAACCAAGCTTGGCAGCGTCTCGACCATGTGTGGGCCTCCCTCGATGCACACTGCCTGCCAAACAATATCCCTGCACACTGTCTGACCTAGTACCACTGCCCACCAATGCGCCCTGCTGTCTGCTCTTTGCTGCTCACCCCGAGCAGCGGTGCGCGAGGTGAAGGTGAGCCAGGTGGGCGAAGCACAGGCGTTGGCGTAGGCGCAGACAAAGGTGACCTTGCCGCTGCCATTGACGAGCCCCTCCTTGCCGGTGAAGGGAGCAACGTAGCCGGGCGGGCTGCAGTTGTAAGGGGACTCGTAGAAATCGGCCCCACCAAACTCAACGGTGACCTGTGGGCGTTTGGGTGCAGCAGGGTTAGGTTCTAGTCAGCGTATACAGTTAGTGCGTGCTCACTGTGAGAGCGCTTCCACAACGCCTGAGCCTCAACATCGTTCACACAAATCATTCAGCGCAAAATTTGTGGGGGACCCCTCATGATGAATTTGCCTTACCGTGAAAACCGCCTGAGAGGAGTTGTCCTGGAGCAGGTCCTGTGACACGTCACCCAGTTTGACGCTGGGCTGGGCAGCCTTGACGGCAGATGTCAGGTCAACATTGGCAGAACGGTTGACACCTGTTTGCAAAGAGCAAGGCAAGGACAATGCAAGCAGGGGGAGGGGGGGGGGGACAAGGGACGGGCACTGGTGCGGCGCGACCTTGGAGACTGCAGGCAGGAGCGCAGGTTGAGCACCGCCATACAACTGTTCCAAGGCTAGGGGCGACCAATTTGCAGATGCCTCGCCTTGCCAATTTCACAGCCCATCTTGTCGCTGCGCACCCAGCAGGCCGGTGGCTGAGAAGGTGAGGGGCGTCACCACGCTGGTGGAGTTCTTGAAGCTGCAGCTGTAGACGCCGACGCCGGTGCCGTTGACGTCCCTCACGGGCTTGGTCACCTCCTTGCACAGGTCCGAGGGGTAGGTGTAGTTGACCTTGGCGCCATTGAACAGGATGCCCAGCTGAAGGAGAGGGGGCGTGATAGTGCGGCGGCAAGGTAGAGGTGAATGTCGTTGCGGCAGAGGTATGTTGCGGCGTGTCCAACTTTAGTACAGGGTTTGTGGTTTGGGCACGTTTCACAAGGGCTCTTTGGCGCCCCCCCCCCCCCAACCATCAATTTCTGCATTCTGCTGTGCGGGCGTGAGATCACATTGCCCGGATGCGCAGCATTCCTGAATCCACTCACGTCGTATTCAACAGGGTTGCTGAGGTTGGTGAGGCAGGATTGGTTGTTCTCCAGCGCCCACACCGCCACAATCGGCTCAGTGGCCACGACCAGCGCCTCAGCGTCCTCGGCGTAGCAGTCTGGAGAGCAGGCAGAGAGGCGATGTGCGCTTGTCGAATTGATGCAGGGTGCGCCTCATGCTGTGGTGGCAGCTTGCTCCTCGGCAAGCAAGGCAGACTCCAATCCACAAGCACCGGCCCACGCACCAGCAGCCGCGGTGTTGGCACGGAACTTGAGGGGGGAGGCGGCGACGGCGTCCGGGGTGCTGTTGAAAGCGCACACGAAGTTCACGGTGCCAGAGCCAGCCGACAGTGCGTCGGTCCCGTTGCCGACGGCCGAGCAGCGGGCAGGCTGAGAGATGCGGCTGACGCCACCAGTGCCCACAGCGCCCTCAAAAGCAACAGAGACCTGGTGGCAGTTGGTGGCAGTATGGTTGGCTGAGATGCGGCGCACGTGAGAGATGGGGCATGCTTTTCTCACGGCAAATTCCCAACGCAAAGCCAGTTCTGGCCCCCACAGAGCTGTTTGGCCCCCACAAACCTCACCGTGTAGTTGATGGGGCTCGCAACGTCGCCGTATGCAAGCAATGTGGTCTGGTTGGGAGCCACAGTGATGGTTGCTGAGGGCGCGGTTGCGACAACCGCCGTTGGGATCATCTGCCACGTGTTGTTCATCTCACCTGCAAGGTGTGATGGATATTAATGCGGGTGAGCTGCCCAATGACCGTCGCAAAGCATTTAAAGGAAACAGGACGCTTGGTCTGCAAGGGCGTAAGTGTCATTCAGATGGGCTTGCAGAAGAGCGATTCCAAGGCTGCTGCACAACACTGCTGGCCCGCAGCGATCCGACCACGCACTGCTGATAAGGCCGTTGGCGGTGATGTTGACAGCAGTCTGGTTGGCGGTGGTGGCGTTGGCAAAGCTGCACTGGTACGTGATGCTGCCGTCCCCGTTGGCGTTGAGGCCGCCAGCGGAGATCTGGACGCAGCTGGAGGGAAGCACGGTAGGCGCCCTCTTTGAGCCCCGGTATGTCACAGGGACCTGCCAGTGCGGCGATGGGGTGCACAGTTATTTGGAGCCAGGGGTTGGATGGGTGGACAGGCTGGTGCGGTGCCCTCTGCAAGTGAGAACAGTGTGTCTTTGTTTCAGGCCAAGCCTCAAACACAGGGCAGGTTGTGCCGAGCTTCACATGCTCGAGCTGGCCTGTAGGTGGATGCTGCCCCCCTCTCCCCCTGCGCACCTTGTAGGTGACAGCACCGTTGCTAGAGGCGCAGCCCTGGGTGATGGAGCCAAGGCTCACGCCAACCTCGGGCTCATACACCACCGACAGGTTCCGGTAGGCCTTGGCAGAGCAGCCTGGGAGGCAAGGGTGTAGCGGGGGAGTGAGGGTGACACATGACCGGGCCCTGTCTTTGAAAGTGCTCTATTAGGCCCTCCCGTAGGCTGCCTTGCATACATATGGATTGAATCCCGATTCCGCAGCGCACCAGAGGCCGCAGTCTGGGCCTCAAATGTGAAGTAGGCCGAGTCGATGTAGGCGTTTTGCGTTACCACGTTGACCGGGTAGGCGCACGTGAAGTGCAGCGCGCCGGTGAAGGGGTAGGTGAGCGCCGTGGTGTTCTCGGTGATGTTGCAGAGGCTGGGCATAAAGATCTTGTTTGCGGCAGGGACGCTGGTGAAGGTCACCGTGGCCTGAAAAAGAGGAAGGGGTCTTTGGGCAGTGATCAAACTGTGGTATGGCTGTTCGTCGCCAGCATGACGTGGAACGCTGCAAGCATGGCGATTTGTCTCATTATGGGTTTGCGAGGGACTTCCATGAACCTGCAACATCTTTTTGCAGCGTTCAGGCTGCCGGAGTGGAGATAGATCCTCAGCGGTCAACTGCAAATTCGCTCCCCCACCCTTCGCACCTGGTACTGCACGTACGTGGCCTTGCTAACAGGCAGCAGCAGCCCCTGAGTCACAGAGTCTATCGACACAGCGGGCTGCACGGCCGCAACCGGCACCGTGGCAACGTATGTGCTTGTGATGTTGGAGACATCTGAGGTGAGAGGGCACAACAGGGAATGCGGATTGCCGGTCGGGGTTGAGTTTGCTCAGAGCAATAGTAAGGCAGGCTTATGGAGTTCAAGAGCGATCACATGCAGTCCAGAATAAATGTCAAAGACACACCAACAAAGGCGCCCAGTTCCCTGATGCGTCCCTTTGGCCTGGCCAAATCTCACCCCCCATGACAACAAAGGGGAAGGACGATGTGAGGTTGTTGTAGGCCGTGCAGGTGTATATGAGGGTCCCAATCTTGTCCGCAGCCTTGACCCAGGTGGTGGACACCAGCGTGCAGTTGGTGGGCACCACAATGCCATTCCTGGCGCCAGCAACGACAAGCGTCACCTGGAGAGTCGGGTGGGTCAAGGGGCAGTGGGTCTGATGATTGGACCAGGAGGCGTGCACAGGGTGCCCTGAACATCGCACAATCCACAGCATGGCTAGGGGTCTCCGAGTGACGCCCTGAGCACGCTGACAGACTGACAGCGTTCTCACCTTGTATGTTGCAGGCCTGGACAGGTCGCCGGCGTTGCACTGCTGCGCACCACTGATGCTGGAGGTAAGGTCCACAACTGCCTTGAGGGCGGCGCCCGTGCTGATCGTGGTGTTGCAGGTGGAGCTGAATGCTGCAATACAAAGGGGTTGGCCAAGGGGACAGTTGTTGACAAGTCAAAGCTGCGTACTTGTGCACCGCAAAATCACATTAGGACGCACCCACAAAAAAGGCAACACATCGCGCACTGGTCATTCTCTCTTACCGCTAGTGTTGGAGTATGTGGTAAAGGTGATTGGGACAGCCGGGATTTGGCTGCGATTGGCGTAGAAGCAGGTATAGATGACGCTGGCGGTATAGTCGGCTGTGAGGTCCGTAAAGTTGGCGTCAGATGCGTTGCAGCCAGAGAGGGCAGGGGTGATGGTGGGCACTGTTGCGTTCATGGGGTTGGTGCCCAAGTCCGCGAACGTGACTGGGATCTGCAGGGGTGGCGGCGCAGCACAGGGCAGGAAAGGAGGGGGGTCATGCATTATATCAGGGATTGGCGCGGCAACACTCGCTGCTGTGTGGGAAGGGTGGGCACTGAAATCACATGCACACTTGTGGCTATGGAAATTCACAAGCAACTTTGTGGACAACTCACTCTTTTATAGAGCACGGAAGGACAGCGCCGCTTGACAAAGTGCCCACAGCCTGGAACCCCCACATGTCTCACCGTGAACGTGACGTTTTGTGTGTCCAGGGTCGCGCCGAAATTGGCAACGCTCAGGGGGCTGGGCGACTGGACAATGGTGCCAAGCGTGACAGTGGGGAAGACAGCGCGGACGATGTGTGGGAATATATCGGTGGCACCGGTGATGTTGGCGGTCGCCACCTCGCTGACGACGGAACCGATGGCGGTGAAATTGAACCCGTCGTCGTAGATGCCGTTTGACATGGTGCAGTCCACATTGATCGTGCCAGCGTTGGTCGTGATAGCACTCGAACAGGGGCTGGCACAGGTGCAAGAGCCATTGCCCAGAGCAACCCATGAGATGTTGGCGTAGGTAGACGTAGCGAACGAGCCCAGCGTCAAAGGCACCTGAGGAGGGTGGCGCGCAAGACAGCTCACTGTTGGCAGAATGACAGTGCACGTGGGGTGCACATTCACGATCAACTTCACAACATGCGCGTTTGAGACGAAGTCACGATGCAATCTACAACGCAAAGACCCAGTCAGGTGGCGGCTGCCAGTTACTCCCGGTTTCCCGCCAAAAAACAGTCCAGGGGCTTACCCGGAACCTGACAGGCCCATCACAAACAGGGGCATCGTTTGCCGCCGCGCTGGGATAGAGCTGGACGATGGTACCAGCCGTGAGTGTGGCGGCCTGTGCCGGCGCCAGCCAGAGCGCAGCTGCGGCCGCCAGCAGGCCTGCGTTGTCGTGTCGCGATGCGTCAGCCGTTGCGCCAGTCAAACGTCCGCCCGGTGCTACACAGCTCAAATCATGACACAACTTACCTAGCACCATTTTGCTCATACGCCGTTCCATTTGATTGCTGGGAGCGCTGGTCGCGGGCCGTAGCTGGAGGACCGGCAGACCGATCTTGTGATTTGCTGGCACGCGTGTCCGGGGCTTTTCACAAGCCAGTAAAGAGCCAATGAATTCTGTGATGTAGACTCACAAGTCTAGTTGTGCTGCTGCAGCGAGCGCGCGTTGTAATTAATGGACTCTCGCTTGACCAGCCCAGGCCGACCCTGCGCCTTCCTCGATTTATTTGTTGGTACCATATCAGCTATTGATGTATTTTTAAAGAGTTTGTGCTGGCCTAGCGTTGCCCTCGTGCGTGCTGTCGCAGCACTCTCTGCAGCAGCGGCTGAGCTGGCACACTGCGCACACCTCAACTAGCTGTCCCGAGACCAGCCCGCAGGCACAGCTTCCTTGTAAGCAGCTGTGCAGACGGGCGGGTTTCATAAAGTTTATTTCTAGGCTCCACGATCTTGCCGTGCAGTACTGTCTTGTGCAGGGCGCGCACGAAGCCAGTTGGCTCGAAATACGCAACATGCTGGTTGGGTGCAGGAGCACACACCCGCAGCCGGCAGCGACAACATCGGAACAAAGCTGTCATGTTGCAGCTGCTGAATGTTGTAGCTGTCATCCCCTGAAACAGACAGCATCCTTCTGCCGGCTTAGCTTCCCGCTCTGACAGTCCAAGCCGGATGGACAGGAGCGCTCCTTGCTAGCCAGCACTTGTGACTAGCTTGCCACCAGCCATGACCAAGGGTTTAGA